ACAGACATAGATACACGACACATAGACACACACAGAGACCCACACACCTACTCAACACTTCACACTTAACACCTAACACACAACTCACATTCTAACTTCACACGTGGTGAAAAATGCTTTCGGGCCCCTCGTCGTCTAGTGTTTTAGTTGCTCGCGCGGGCACCAAGAACAACTTTAAAGCATGTTCTCAGCCCGCACACGCACGCATCATCACAGCGCATGTTCTGACACAAGCTCTTTTCTGAGTGTGTAGCGACCGGTTCCTGTTTCAAGTCTGGGGGTCTGGAGGCTGGACCTGTGTTCGCCTCACGTGGTTGTTTATTGATTTATATACGTCATCGCGGTCCGCGGTCGCATCGCGGCGGTTCGAAAGTTCTTGCTGTTGGGGGGGCCCGGGGAAGCATTTGGAATAGGTTTTGGATGGATGGAATGCTTCATTCGTGTGAAATATCGTGCAATCGTGACTTCCCAAGTGTGAGCAGGTGCGCCGTTGGGATTTGCTGTTCAGGCTCTTGCCTGGAGGCTGTTTCCAAGACAAGTCTCAGCTAATGAGAACGTGCTCAGTTCCAATCCTGCGGTGCGGTGCAAGTTTTTGCTGAAGGAATCGTGAGGTCCATTGTCAGACCACAACACATTTCACTTCACCCGTGGTTTGCGTTTCATAAACGATTAGAATCTAGCGCTCAACCGAACACTGTTCATGATGTGGTGAAAGCTGTGGCACAAACATAGAGAACATCTGGTGATTCTTTCCTGGCTTCCAGGATTCCACATAGGCAACACAGCGTCATCGTCTGAATTGAAGATGGGATGTGCTTTGCCAAAAGTTCCTCTGTGCACCTTACAACGCTCGAGAAAAAAACGGTGGTAAGGTTATTCAAAGACACAACAGGAGAGATGTCGTCACATCAAACCCTGGTTTTCTTAGTAAAGCATCGTTCTGCCGTAAAGCGCTGATCAATTCATTGGTAGTGAATTTTTGCGGCAGAATGTGTCGCTATGTCGCAATGGAATTGGCGACAGGGATTTCTGTCGACTCGTCCATTCGCACGGGGTTCAAAGGAACTGACCAAGACTTCCGATGTCATGAGTCATCATCATAGCACTCCATAATTTTTTCCAGCAAGGAAACTCTGACGCACAGTTGAAGTTTCACCATACGGAAGGAAATGCTTACTGTACATAAAACATCATAAAACCAATCAGCAAGGAGATGGAAAATTTTTTCGAGTCAGAACCCTTAAAGTGCTGATTGTTTCTGGTTGCCTTCACAAAAATTATCTTGAAAGGGGCCTATTATGACTTTTCCCTGCCATTTGTGACAAGATGCATAGGAATGGTACACTGTCATGTAACTGATTCCTTCAGTATGACAGTAACAAGAGGACTGCATATTCACATCACAAAAATGGACCTGGTCTGTTATTTCCTTTGGGGGCCGTAACAAAAACACGTGTTTTCCCGATGAGTGGCCCAGCAATGAGATTGCAGCGCGACAACTAGATAGAAACTCGATTCTGTTTAGGAGAAGGGCTGTTTATGACAACACAGTTCGGCTGTAAGTGCTCAAGATGTTGGCATATCACCTTTTGGACTCTCAGAGGGCGAACACTCGCTTGTCCACTGGACATTATACTTTCCAGTGAACAAGCGCAAGTTCTTTGAGTATTATACTTGGTTCAGCAACGGCGCGCTTTGGGTGACACGTTTCAATGGAGTGTTCCTAACATTTCCAGTGCATAAGTGCGTGTTCTTTGAGTATACTTGGTGCAGCAACGGCCGGTACCTTTTGGGAGACACATTTCAATGGGGTGTTCCGAACCATTGTCACCTGTTCCCCCCACCCCACCCAATAGATTGTTTGGCGGTCGACTCTCCTTTCACCTTCTCTCCTCTGAAAGTGCGCAAGTGAGTGCGCGGTGCGCAAGTGAGGTAAAGTGCACAAGTGGGAGTTTTTCCAGTGCTCAAGTGAGTGCTTGGCCCTCTCAGAGTGGAAAGATTGTGACCTGCCTTGAAGTCAATACAAGTATCAACTTTAACACTGTTTCGAGAAAGGAACAATGATAATGATAAACCACTGTTTCCATGCAACAGTTCAACAACATCAGAATTGATGTGTTTGGCAAACCAAAAGATTTGCTCTCCAAACTCAGCCTCAACGTAAAGTGCATGGTCTTCACTTATATAACTTTTCGAGGTAATCGTCAATTGCCGGAACGGATACATCATGCAACTCAGTTTATGATGGTCGATGGTTAAGCCTTGGCCGAGATGCATGGTGTCAAAGACTCCTTCCACACCAACATGTACTCCACACTGGGGGGCTCAAAGGTTCAAGCCAGACTCTTCACCACTCACGAAGCAGTTGTGTGGCATACTTCATGACATTTCATGACACTGGAATCCCGCTTTGATCCGCTTAGTGTGTTCGATTCATGGCTCAGAAAACCACAAGAAAAGGCTGAACCAAGGCCTGGAAACTGCCCAGGGGAAACTTTGCGCCACACTGTTAGCCGTTAGCCTTTAGCCCATCCAGTTCTAAGCGCGTATAAGCTGCCCAGGGACAAGGCAAAAAATGCAATTGTCGAAACCGATTTGAAGGTGTGAAAATTGCCTAGGGGCGACCTGCTGGGATCCACTGAAAGACAAGCGGAAACTGCCCAGAGAAAACCTTGCAACACGCCTAGGCCTATAGCCCATCTAGTTCTGCACACCAAAACTATGGAAGCTGCCTGCAGACGACTCTTTGAAAGAGGTGTGGAAGTTGCCTAATTCCTATGTGTTTTTTTGCTGGCTACAACTCTTTGGACATACCAAGTGCGAGAATGTATGCGAGGAGGTCTCGAGGGAGGTTGATATGATCACAACATAGGAGCCCCCAACCAACTACCCAACATCCCTCAAGTCTTCCCTTGGTTTCCCTTTTGGATCTTGTGGTGATAGAAGTTGTTCGTCAACGTTCATTTTGTCCCTGTCCAGCTTACCTCACCTCATCATGTCCCACCATCTCACTTGGAGATTGAAAATGAAATTGCGGCGAAAGTGAAGCATTGGGAGAGATTCTCGTTTCCAGACTCCAACATAATCCAACTGTTTTTGGAAATTGCTTTGCTTTCGAGAGTGTGCGAACCTACAGTACTTTTGGGGATGCCTAAATCCAATACCCATCATAGGGGGGTCTTTTGGTCAGGTGATTCGTTTTATATGCAGTATGTTGATCCATTGAGCATGTCTTTTTCTCCATATGCAGTAGGCCGTTGCTTGCTGCCGCAAGGGCCCGTCTCCAGGTTTGCCCCACACGGCAGGATTGGGGTAGCTAGATCCTATAGTAGACAACCCGCCCTATCGTGACCTTTTCTGCTGCAGGCATCACCCAGTGCTTGGCCAGCCCAATGACAAACACGACAGTAGACAACAAACAATGAGATGCTTGTTGACAGCACTGGCCATTAACATGAGAACAGATCATGACAAGCATAACTAATGACAACACCATCACCAAGCATAGAAATAACATGAAATAACCACAATACACACACATATATCATATATATATTGTCAGGCGGGGATAATTCGACGTGAAAAGAATGTTTGTTTTTGGACTTGGCAGTGTATGACCTTTTCCACAAAACATATATAGCTTGGCACCCATGCAGGCAATGGACTACGTGCAGAAAAAGAAAGGGCAGGGCAATGCCAAAAGTGAGTAGATGGCGTTGAAGTCGCCCCCTTTTCTCCCAAGCAACCCAACGTACTTTCTGATGCGCCCCCAAATTGCTTGGATTGGGTGTTTGATGGCTTTTGAGCGGCTTGGGAAGATTGGACTATGCGCAAGTTTCCATCAGGCAGGGGGGTCATCATTGATCCCAATCGAGGCGCGGAAAGCTTTCACCGAAGGCCTCGACTGAACGTTGAGCATGCCATGAGGGCGCGAAAGATTCCAACAGCGACAGCAACCAACTGTTGATCAGTTGTGCTTCGTTTGCTAGTCAGAACACGACCGATTGCTTTGCACTGCCCACTGTGTGGCGCATTCCAGCTCAAGCATACGTTCCTCTCCCACAGCAGATCAGATGCTGGAGGCTGGAGGCGCGAGTTCCGTGCCGTGTGGGCACAGACGAAGGGCAAAATCGTTGTTGAAAGCAGCGCAAGGCAACTTCACAGCTCAGTGGTCCATCTTCCAAACTGCCAGGTTGGGAAATGCAAACGGCCGAATGCCGTTGAAGAGTCGGCTTTGGGAGCTCTTTACCTGGCGGAAAGGACGGCGCAATCGTGGAAATACTTGTGACTTGTGGCTGTTGGTAACCTGCAGGCAGTGCACACGTGCACACACTCTGAAGATGAAGATTATGTGAATGAATAAGATTGACATTGCGTTTGCATATGAAGCCTCACCATTCAAAGAATGGTCGCAGAGGTGTTGCATGGCATCGGGTATCACAGATCCAAGTTGTTTTAAAGGATCCGAAGGCCACAGCAGAATTTGTTCGACAAAGTGACAAATTGTTGTCCAGGTGGTCCAGATGGGGACTTGGCCTTCACCTCTTTGTCGCCCATGCAAGTCGTGCACCGCTGCTCGAAGCATTCGCTGCATGTTGCTCATGTTGGCAATTTTAGCGTGATTTGAATTAAAATTAAACTTAATTCTCATAGCTTCTTGTTACTAGTAAGGCCCTTGCTCCTAGTAGCGATGCACTTGTTTCATGTGTGTTCTTCATGGCCTTTTAGCGGCGCTCCGTTTCCAGCGATCAGTAGTGAACAATTCGGACAGATTGACCGCAGCAGCTTCAGCACAGGGTGGCAGTTCTTGGGCCCACTGTATCCATTTACATGGGTGAGAATTGGTTTTGAAGGTTTCAGCCTGAAAACCTTTTTCAGGCTTGTGCAAAAGCGGCTTCCAACCGTCTCAGTTGGGTTCGTTTCAAGTGTCCGTTTTGGATCGTTTTGGTACACCTTTCTTTTTGTGCGTGTCATCCTTTGCGGACCAGCACTCCTCCCTGGTCGTGCGCTTAGCATCTGACCACCATTCCAAAATGGAGCCGTAGGCTCAAACCGCTTCAGCTGCCACACACTTTACATTGGCGGATCTCTAACATCGGCCCTGTCACTGCGCGGCACCGAGCATCTGTGTGGTGGTTGCCCAGCTGGTCCTCATACACGAAGCTTGCTTCCATCAGGCTCCTCTGGCCTTGGGCTGCTCTCTGGCAGGCCCCACACACCGGATGCCCTCGAACTCGATTTGCGTTTCTCAGCCCCCTGCAATCCTGTCGTCGATGGAAGCATTGGCTGGACTCCGCAAACCAGATCTGCCACGTCGGCTCAGCTGCAAATCGCCTTCTTCTTCCGGTCAGGGTGATCTGTAGTCGGTCCCCTGGTAGGTCAGCTTGGTTGGGAGGTTCTTCTTGCGGCTCAGCTTGTACAGGATGATCTCTCTCCGGACCTCCAGTTCCCAATCCCCCATTAGAACTGGTACCCGTTGGCGGCAACGATGAAGTACTGTGTTCCCCATCGCTCGTTCGCTGTTGACTTTCTCCTCTTTGGTGTGATCCTTGACCCCTCTCTGCTTGAAGCCTTGTAGAAGACCTTGTCCCTGAGCCTGAGGAGGCCTGTCCAGTCAAGCGAGAGACCCTCACTCTACGCACCACTGGCTCCTCCTCCATTTGGCCCCAATGCAAGCGGCATCGTTGAAGGATCTTCATGAGCACCATTCCCAGCAACATCATCATGACGCTGAGGAGGTACAGAATGTGGTCGCCCTCGGTGTTCTCATCAACACTCTTGGTGACGTTCTCAGCCGATGCACCTCTTTCAAGGCAGACAGCACTACCACAATCCTCATGGCCTTCTCCAGGTGGTACTTGGCGACGAGCTTCATGGCGCGAGGGGCGACAATGCCCGTGTCTTCTTCATGGACCTCATCGACTGAGTCCGGCTGCCATGACATTCCCATTCTTTGTCTCATCCGCGATGAGCTCCCGTCCAGGCTGGTATTTCAGCTCCCATTGACCAGACTGAATCCTCCATTTGAGGTGAGCGGCCCGGACCTTCAAGTGTCTTGTACGCCACGCTCCAGTCGCACAACTCGCTATTGATACTGCAGCCGTGTTGTCACACTTGAGGAACTTTGGGACATCTCTCACCATCTCGTCAACCAGACACGCAATGATAATGCTGTCACCCACGACCACAGCCTCGATGACTTCGATGAGTTCGGCTTCTGCGGTTGACAGTGCCGGAAACGGCTGTTTGCAGCTCTTCCACGCAACCGGTGCGCCAGCTATCGTGGTGATCACGCAACCATGGCTGTGGGCTCCTCCTGGGGCAAACGACGCATCACTGACCGACTCCAAGATGAAGTTGGCATCTCTGCGGTACCACAGACCAAGACCTTGAGTGGCGTTCAAGTGCCTGATGAGCTGGTAGGCCGTCTGAACCGCCCATTTTGGTGCACGGCTTGTTGCTGACCATATCCTGCTGACGGCGTAGGCGATGTCAGGCCTTGTTTTCGTCGCCAGCCATAGAAGTTCACCTCCAAGTTGTTGTGCCTCTCGAACTTGTAGGGGTGTACGATCCAGCTCATCTTCAGGTTCCTGTGAGTCCTTCATCATTTGAGCACTGCAAAGGTCCTCCATGCCATGTCTCCGAACCACTTCCCTCAAGTAGGAACATTGATTGGCAAAGAAGTCTCCTTGTTCCGTTCGGCTCAACTCCATTCCACAGTACCGAACTGGTTCTCGATCTCCCACCCACGTAGGTTCGGACGTCTCCCAGGTCTTTCTAAAGCTCTGTAGTCCTCCTTCTACGATCTCCCTGGTGCCAAAGAGCATCACATCATCCACGTACACCAAGGCGAGTCCCTCGACCCGATCACCATCTCCGGCATCCTTTCCGCGCACCAGCCACAGGTTCTCCTCCGCGAAGCTCTGCTGGTACTCATAGGTGATGTGGTTCGCCTGGAAGGACATCTGGCTGATCTCGATGTCCCTGTAGTCCCCCCAAAGTTTTGGAGACTCACGCAGGCCATAAAGAGCTCGTTCCACCAGCCACATTTCCCCGTCCTTCACCAGTCCCAATCGGATGAGGATCTTTGGAGGAAGCATGAGCACCAGGCGTTTCCTTTTGGTCAGGTCCTCCTCCTGCTGCTCCTCCGGGATCACCTCTTCTTGACTGTCGTGACCTCCTCCTTGACCCCCTTCATCTTCCTGAAGTCGACCATGAGCATCTTCCAAGGCGAGTACCTTCTTTCGACTGCTCTCCTGAAGAGTTCGTAGCGGGGCGTTCAAGAAGGCAGTCTTGATGTCCAAGCTGGCAGCCTGCCAGCTTGCCAGCTCCTTCTCTCCAGCTCCGTCACGTGTCTAGCCGCTGCTGGCCACCACTTCGTGGGCATGCCTGATGCATGCAGAAGGCGACGGACTCGTTGTTTGATGGAAGCGATCATGGCCTCCGCTCTGCCGTTCGATTGGTGTTCATCAGGTGGGCTGAAGGTTCTAGCCAGCCCCCTTTGTAGGCACCACCTCTTGAATGGGTTGTTGTCAAACTCCCTGCCAGCGTCCGTATGGATTCTTGCCACGGGGTAGCCGTGTCGTCTCAACATGCCAAACAGTTCTTGAGTCACTGCAAGGACCTCCGCTGCGCTCTTTGAGGTCAATGGCAAGCATATGGACATAGTGACCATCTTGTAGACCTTCTGATGCTCCTCGACCTCTTCCAGGGTTTTAGGAAGTGGTATCGATGGCGTTTCTTGACTTTCAGGTTCTGGAAGCGGCAACGGCTTTGGCTGATCACCATCTCCCTCACCCAGTTGTTCACCTTCACCATCAGACTCTCCCATCTCCTGTTCCTCCTCCTCATCGGACGTAGGCCTGTAGGACATTTCCTCCCCATGTCCCTCTAGGTCCTGAGCCAGGTCATACTCCACCTCTCGAAGAGCTTCTTCCTCCTCCAGCTTCGGCCAGTCGGGGTGTACCTCAAGTTGCTCGACGTCATCCCATGGGGCCTCCTCCATGACCGGCCATGTGTACGCGCCCACCAGCAGGTACTTCTTGAGGTCGCCGTCGATGTCATGGCCAAGCACGAACGGACCCGTCAAGTCCAGTGACAACACGCACGGTGCTGCAATTCCTTGAGCTCGATGTGGTCGATCCCGAGCAGCGGCCCTCTGACACACAGCGCAGTCCCTGCGAAACGGTACATGTCCTTGTGCAAGATGTTCCTGCCAAGACAATGCCTTCATCGTCACCCGCCTCTTTTGGATGTTGACCGTGATGCTTCGTGCAATCTCTCGCATCATCCCTGGGCCCATCTCGCCAGCTCTGAACTCGACACTTCGCGCTTGGTTTTCAGAAAGGCCTTGGGAGGACCACGATCTTCAGGGACCATAAACTCCATGTTCAGTGCCAGTGAAGTAGGTTTCACCGCCATTCCCCCATAGGCACCTTGGTTGAAGGTCACCAGATCCAAGTTGAGGTGCTGCTTCATGATTTTCCACTCTTCTGTCGTCCAGAAAGATGCCACTTCCGGCATGTGCTGAGGCGCTGCTGGCTGCTCCATAAGGAACCTGACTGTCGGCAGCAGATTGGTGTTCTTCTCTTGGGACAGTCGCGCATCCCGACCCAGGTTGGCCACCACATATAACGTCACCATGCGCAACAACAGCACGTCGTCCAAATGGCACTTTGCTCTTTCCACCTCATCCAACTCATCCAAGCCCCATGGCCTTCCCAGAGATCTCGACGGCCCTGGTAGTCCTGTGACAGGATGGTGACGAAGTTCGCTGCGAGCGCGGCAGTTGGGGCCCCCAATCACAGCATCGACCCAGCCCAGCATAGCAATGCGAAGCAGGGCCGCATACATTGCATCGTCTTTGGACATGTCATGACTTTGGTCTCGAAGGATGTCGACCTCCAACAGTCTTGTAGTATCCCCACCAGCCTCCTTGAGCGCTCGAGTGAGGTCGTAGCCTTCATGCTTGCCGGCATACAGGTGAATGACCACTCCTTCATTCTTCCAGCGCTTGCGAATGCGCCGATTGGCTCCAAGGACTTCAAGATTTCTTGCCGGGGAGTCTACTATAGGCGATCTTTGATCCTGATCGGGACCTTGTCAAAGATCGGACAATCCGCCACCACCCGGTCCAGCCAGTCCACGTTGTGGGTCTCCCCAAATCGATAGCACCTCAAAGCCGTTCTCGACCGAGACTCCTCCAATTCCCTGATGAGGCCAGGGCGATGTCATGGTCCATTTGAAGACATCCAGCTTCAACTTTGAGGTCGATGTTCCCCCTGACCGGGTGCTCCAACGTGCAAGCTTCCCCAACCCATTCGATTCGACATCCCAAGTCGCGAACAAGCCTTCCTGCAGGGACAATCGGCTCCACGTTCTCGCTGTTATGGACCAACGTCTCTCCCTCGGTCATCCGAATGTCTTGTGCTCCTCCAGCGGCCAGGGTCACTCTCACTTGACGGTATCGTTGAAGGTCTTCTCCTCTTAGCTTCGGCCTCAAAGCGTGTGTTGCTGCCCCAGAGTCCAGCAACCCTTCTCGACCCGGTTGAACTCGAGCGATCTTGACTGC